CCCCTCCCCCCTAATCCTGCCGTGGTCATCCCTCTCTGGAAGGGGAAAAAAGATCAATGGGACTGCAGCAATCACCGTGGCATGACACTGCTTAGCATACCAGGCAAGGTTTTCGCTCAGATTCTAACCATCTATTAAGGCATAGGGACTGGATCAAAGTGTGGTGGGGGCCTGTCAAGATTCTTCCCTGTTAATTTAGGAGTGAGATAAGGCTGTATTTTTGCCCCAACACTCCAACACTTGCATGGACTGAATAATGGGCAGAGCTACTGTGGAGCAACTCTAGGCAACATTTAAGACACCTACCTTGGTCCTTCTGCAACAATACAACACAATACAATACTAGAGAAGAAGAGAATCTTGAGATTCTCGAAAGAAGAAAAGGAAGAAGAAGACGGCTAAGATAGTAGCTGACTACAGGTACCGGCAACTCTAAATACTCTTGTTGACTGAATACATGGCACCTACCGCCAGGGCAATCCATCTGACTTCCTGGTCTGACAGCCCAGAGTCATGGACTACACTACCAAGGTATGTAAAGCACTCTGTGACTTCAAAGTCCTCGGCGCAAACATGCATTGACTAAACAGCTTCTCCTAACAGACCCCCAAAATCCTGGACCTTGATCTTGATCCAGGAGACCTCTAAACCAAAGGGCTTCACGTCATTGCTCAGTGCATCAAGAACCGCCGCCAGCAGTTTTGCTTTGTGGAAATGAAACCTGGACACTACCTGGCCTGGGAGTCACGTCTTGATGCCTTTGGTAACAGGTCCTTGTAACGGATCATGGAGTATAGTTGGGAGAATCATGTGTACAACCGACGGTTACACAGTGAGACCGGCATAAGACCTGTTACTTTCAAAATCCGGAACCGCCAACTCAGGTTATATAAAGGCACATAGCTCGTTTCCTTGTAGATGACCTTGTCCATCAGGTTGCTTTTATACAAGACAGTCCAGAGTGGATGAGGCCTGTGGCACGTGGCTTGGACAGATTGACTATCTTGAGGAGCTAGAGATGGTCCGAGGACCTTCCTGGTTCATCGCCATGAGGGACCCTCGTGGCTTGAAGTGAAGGGTTTTTACGGTATGTGCCCCAGTCGGCGTTAGCCCTATTTTTTATTGATTGATTCTTATAAAACTTCTTGTTTTTTAATCTTAGATGTACTTATTGGCCTTTTATGTTGTTTTGATTCACTACTTCCAGTTCTCCTCATTTTATTCCTTTTTCTTATAATCTTTCATATGTTCGTTTCTGGCTTCGTAAGTCCACTGAGAATTGAGTTACTCAGAATATATAGATCAAATGTGTGATGTTAATAAGAAATAGTAGGATGCAATGGTAATAACGTTTTCTGTTAAACAATTTAATCCATAAAATACCACATCCAATTCACGGAAATATCTAGAATTTTATTTTTCGGGTAGTTCCTTCCATGCAGTTTTGCCCATCATGAATTTCTTTCTGAGTAATTTGTTTGACGTCTTTCAAGATTATCAATCTTTTTACGATTTTATGATTTTTGGCATGTATAATGCCCGGGACAGTAACTGCATTATCATTTATAAGGCTTTATATTTCTCATCATTAAGTATTTTAAAATTAAATCCGGCATTCATGGAGTCTCTTGTATGTTGCCACGAAGAAAATAAAAGAAAAAGGAAAAAAGGTAACGCGAAGTCGCGGATGCGTCTCAAATATAATTGTGTCTGTAGCCCCTATTCCTGATTACAGCGTTATTTCTGTAAATTAGATTTTCATTTTAGTAAGCTGCTTATATAGTTTGCATACTTGCTTAAGTATTAGCTTATGTTGTTTTAATGAAAAACATTATGCCAAGTAGTGAATAATGATGTCAAGCAAAAGTAAACTGAAATAGAGAGTCAATCAAAGATGCGATGAAAATTAACAAACAAAACTATGCAAAAACTTATCAACTACACACATACAAATTGTCAAAAATACCCGAAGTTGATACGAAAAAATGTACCATAATTAACAGGAAAACCGATAAAGATAAAAGAACCCCTCTACGGACGGAGAAGAAATACATTAGATTCGAATGCAAAGCCAAATCATAGCGGCCATATTGCTCTTAGCTCACCGAAGAGTACGCTCTTCCTATAGCTTTGTATGATTTCGTTATACTGACGTGATATAACAACTTTTTAAGGGAGGTGGCAGGAGGTAAGACTTGCTTGATTATAAATAAGTATAAATTTCTTATCAGTCACTCAAAGTATATGAGATATTAAGAAAGCTTGTCATTCGGCGTGGTTTTTGAAGGTCTTTGGCGAAGCCGATTGTAAATGATTAATACTTTTCTGTTATTGTCGTTTTCGTTTGAATATTTTTGTGTGTTGTTCATGTATGGTTAACAATGATTGTCCTTTTGTTAAGCAAGTGAGTTTAGTAGGAACAAAACTCATTAAGCAGAATTGTGCTAATTTTTGCCATAAAGAAAACAAAGTGTTCTTTTCAGGCGGTAATGCATACAGGTTCTCCGTTATTGGTATTTGTTATAGAGAGCGACGCGCCCTTCAGAGACGGTCCCAAAATCAGGGTATCATGCAAACCCAAAACCCCAAACCTTACCTTTCCTACCTTACATTTATTCCCTTAGAAGAGGGGGAAAACCCTGTACCCCCCTTTAGTAATGCTTTCAAGGACAAATGCATCTATTTTATGGTAAATGTTTACAACAGGAGCACACCCCTCAGAGATGGAGTCCCAGACTCCCACCAATAATTTTAGGAGATCCTGTGGGAGATCGGGGTTGGGGCGGGTGATTTTATTAAGGTAGAGGTTGAAGACCGCGACGCGCGTAGATAGAGGAAAATGGACACCGCCATCTTATAGAGCGGGAAAAATAGAAGGGGATAGCGTATAGTTTAAGATGCACCGGCCTTATAGTCACCGCTAAATGACGAAAATATAACGCGCGGCCGCCTTTCAAATTCAAAGTCGATGATCTTGTTTACCTTGCTAGGAAAAACACGACACTGACCCACGAACGCATTTTTGCGTTCGCGAACTAGTCCGTGTATCATTACGCGCTTGTCAAAACGATATTTGGCTAATTATGTGTGTCTGCTGGTACGCATTTATACCTTTAAAGTCTTTTAGTAATGTTATTATACTTCAATTGCATATTTTTATATTTATCTATACCCTCATATCGAATCCTGCGCATCGAGTGTTTCACACTTTCTTGCGCCAGCCACAGGTTGACAGCTCACCAACCCGCTCATTTCGAGATTGAAAGCCGGTGAGAAATGTTGCGTTTCCAGTGTTGTGTTGATTCTGGGTTCTTTTTTAAGACCTTTACAGTGGCATCGAAGAATAATTCGACTTCCGTAACCATCCCAGTTTTATATCTGAGCCCATCAAGAGCTCCAAAGGACGAAAAAGGTGATTAAAATCGAAGCAATCCCAACAGTACAAAGAAACGAAAGTTTCACGTTTCCGGATATAAAGGTATTTGGTTTATTATTTTACGGTGTGAATGCAGCTCTGTCTTGCCGTACATACCGTGGTGGAGAGAATGTGTCCTGGGGGGTGTTGGGGGCTTGCCCCATCAACCCTCCCCTCGGGCAGTGCCGAAGGGCACGCCTAGTCACGGCAATTTATATTGATATATTAGGTTGGTTTGTTTATTGGTCAATACGTTTTGGGGGTTTGGAACGTGTGAATTCCCGTAGATTTTTTTGCCGAAATGTGGGTTGGGTTCCCGTAGAGTTTTTGATTTATTTCGCGTCAGTCCGTAAACTTTCAAAGATGGCGGTTGCATCCGTAGAGTTTCATTGGCCGATTTTAAGCGCTTTTTGTGCTAGTTTTACGCATTTTTGATCGTTATTCTTATTTAAGCTTGTTTTACCCCATAATTTCCCTGATATACTTCATGCCCTCCCCTGCTAACGGGACTATCAAATCAAGATCGTCGATGGAGAAATGGTACTCAATCTCCTGAACAATTCATTCGCAAAAGAAACAACGCCGAAAATCGATGAAATCATAGGATTTCATGCAGAAAAACATAATTTTTTTTCGACTTAGTCTCTGCGAGGGTGCGTCGCGGTCTTCAACAATTACCTTTATTAATACTAGGTGTTTTAAAAAGCAAAAGAATGTGGAAACTGAAAATCCGAGCCAAGAGTAGTATTTTTTAAAGTAAGGGGAAAATGCAAAAACTTGTGACAAGATATGGCCAGCATTGTGTGAACAATGGAGAGAGTGAACTGCAGCTACCAGACTACCAGAAGGGTTGCCATACGAACAAAAAATCTTCCTAACTCGGGGGTTATTCTCCCGTACCCCCTCCCAATTGCCGTAATTCCCCTTTGGACAACCTCCCTAATTCTTTATTTTCCAACGGGGGCTCTTTCCCCCTGGACCCCCACCTGATTGCTATATTTCCCCATTGGGGGTTCTGCCCCAAGACCTCCTCCCCATTGCTATATTGATACAGGTCAATATTCTGCCAGCCTTCTTTTGAATAAAAAATGATATTTGCAAACGATAGAACGAGTGATTCTAAGAAACTTATCTTGGAAAAAGTTAGACTGATGCGCGTAGATAGAAGGACATGCGTCTTTCATTATTTTAAAAATCGCCATCCGATATCCTTTCCTACCATTTGTAAACAAAACAATGATGCCATTTCATTTTTGTACATTTATAATAATAACTGAGGTTTGTGCGCAGATGAAGCTTGCATAACATTACATGAATGAATGAAATATGATAATACAGCCATAATACTGTAATGATATTATTTCCAATAACAAATGTTACCTAAATGTAAGATTTTTGAACTTCGGATGTATAAGTGAGATACAGATTATTTCATGTTGAAGATGATAGTACTCAGTAATACCTGTTCTGAAATAAAAACTATATGGAATTTTGAGCTTGTTTGTGTGCACACATCTAAAGTTCAAAAAGCTATCGCATTTGTTTCATGCGTTCCCAATAAAAATTAATATGTTTAGACGTTACCGTAGGTTTAAGGTACCATAAATTCACAAATATCCCACAACACCTAGGGGTCTGCTTGATTTTATGCACTTCTTAGTAGAAATAATGGGGGCAAATGGCTAATCACCAACTCTACACTTGTTCTCCTTTGCAATCTGTTAATATTGACAATTATCGAAGAAAACGGTATGAGAGGGATAACTAATATATTATTATTATTATTTAGATATGAACGTCAGTGCAGGTCTACTAAATGAAGATGATTTATTCTTTTTAACTTTATGTTCGTGCGTTCACGTACATATGATTCTCCTCGAAAATTATATACACCCAGTGACCATCTCCCCATCCCCCCTCCCTATATGAAGCATGGGAAAAATTCATCGACTACTGTATGTTCTCAAATTTAATGTACTAAATTCATATGCTTTTAAGGGGACTGTCCCTGAGAGAGAGGGGGGGAAGGGGGTTAAATTGAGTTAGTTAGCGTATAGTATAGGTACATGGATGAGGAAACTACCAAACGAGTATAAAGCGCCTGCTATGGCTCGTTGTCTTGCAGCCAGCGCGCAAGTCCCTCTGGACCCGGAGAGGTACGTTGCTAATGAGCGCCCAGGTACACCTATGTGGACTTTTGCTTGCGGCAATCGTGCATAAGGCATTTAATTATGACATTGCGCATAGATATGAGTTCGTGAATGTTCAAGGAACACTTTTATACCAATATCAGGAAAAAATTATATCACCGTGATTTATGACGAAATATTTTGTGAAATATATCTAAAAAAAAAATGTATGTTTTGTGTCCTTTTACACACGAAATATGCTTTGATCGAGACTCCCTGGTAATATGTTTTAGTTTACGTGGTAATATATACGTATATCACATACGAAGCACTAATGTTTAAAAATAGCCTTATAAGGAAGGATTGAAATATTTCCGTTACATTTCGCTCAACGGTCGGTACATCACAGCAGGGGGCAATTTGAATTGATTTGAAATTGGTAGTTACCGTTGTAAAGACCAATTCAATACGAATGTTACCTAAATGTCGGATTTTTAAACTTCGGATGTATAAGCGAGATACAGATTATTTCATGTTGAAGATGATAGTACTCAGTAATACCTGCTCTGAAATAAAAACTATATGGAATTTTGAGCTCGGTTGTATGCGTAGTCTTCGTCTGGCGTTCAAAAAGCTATCGCATCCGTTTCGTGCGTTCCCGATAAAAATGAATATGTTTAGACGTTACCGTAAGTCTTAGGCACCATAAATTGGCAAATATCCCACAACACATAGGCGTCTGCATGATTTTATGCACTTCTTAGTAAAGATAATGGGTGCAAATGGCTAATCATAAACTTACACTTGTTCTCCTTGCAATCTGTTAATATTGACAATTATCAAAGAAAATGGGTATGAGAGGGATAACTAATAAATTTTATTATTTAGATATGAAAGTCAATGTAGGCCTACTAAATGATGATGATTAATCTTTTTAACTTTATGTGCGTGTTCACGTACATATGATCCTCCTCGAAAATTATAAACACCCAGTGACCCCCCCCCCCCCCCCCCTGTGAGGCATGGGAATATTCAACGACTTTCGTAAGTTCTCGAATTCAATGTACTAAATTCATATGCTTTTGAAATTCTCAAAATTGAACCACCATGTTGTATTCATGCCAGGACTTTATAATTAGAATGATTTTGTACTAATGTTGCCATCCACAGTTCCCCATTTCTTAAAAATAAAAAAAAAAAAAAAAAAAAAATAAAAAAGGTTTTTATCTGGTTTAGATTAGTTGTCTCTATGGTAAAATGCATTTATTAAGCTTTTCACACGAAAATATCAACTTTAATGAACAACGAAAAAAAAAAAAAAAAAAGTGACATACCTTTACAGAATAGCGTCCCTATTGAACATGAAAATTCCTATTGACTTGGTAATCATTGCATTGCAAAGTACACTAAATAAGCATTTTTTTTGATATATAATATCATTAGATTCAGAGAAAAATAACAGAGATAACGAACTTTGGCAAGGTGCCAAATACAAAACGCCGTAGCTCTGTCATTTTTTTATGAATCTTCGGTACATCCCAACTCACGTAATTTTCATGCGATCCAAATGCAGTTTGTTGCTTTCACTAGAGCCTCGGCGTCCCAAGGCCATGTAAAAGGCCGATTTTTGAATTTTTGCCTTAATTAAAAAATAATAATATTTTAATGCTGAAAAAGAAATCAAAAATAGTTCTCTATGTCAAGCTGTCCCCCGCCAAAAAAAAAGGAAATTCAAAATTCGGCCTTTTACATGGCTATAGGCTAGAGTTGATCTAACACAAGTATTTTTGGGGGAATATTCTGTAAAGAGCTGTGATAGTTGGGATGTACCAAAGACATACCAAGAAAAAACAACTATTTTTTTCGACTTTTTGGGGGGTGCCCCCCTCCCCCCAATGGGGGAGTAATGTTAAAATTTATTTATATAACGGAGCGCAATTCTTTACTCTATAGCATGCAAAAAGAATCAATCAGTTATCTCTAACCGATATTTTTTAATGATGTATAGATTAGGGAAAGGTGGCCGTTTCCAGGGACGGTCCCCTTAAAATTCTCAAAATTGAACCACTATGTTGTATTCATGCTAGAACTCTATAATTAGGAGGATTTTGTACTAATCTTGCCATCCACGGTTCCCCATTTCTTCAAAATTAAAATAATATAATAACAACGATTATAAAAAAATAAAAAATAAATGAAAAAAAAGTTATTATCTGGTTTAGATAGTTGCCTCTATGGTAAAATGCATTTATTAAACTTTTCAGACGAAAATATCTACTTTTATGAACAACGAAAAAAAAAAAAAAATACATACCTTTACAGAATAGTGTCCCTATTGAAAATGAAAATTCCTATTGACTTGGTAATGATTGCATTGCAAAGTACACTAAATAAGCATTGTTCTGATATATGATATCAATAGATTCAGAGAAAAATAATAGAGATAACGAACTTTGGCATGGTGCCAAATATAATACGCCATATCTCCGTTCTTTGTTTACATAACCTTTAATACATCCTAACTCTCGTAATTTTCGTGCAATTCAAATACAGTTTGTTGCTTTCACTAGAGCCTCGCAGTCCTAAGGCCATGCAATTGGTGGATTTTTGAATTTTTGCCATTGTCAAAAAATATAGATTTTTTAATGCTGAAGAAAGCAAACCAAAAATAGTACTCTATGTCAAGCAGTCAAGTAAAGAACTGTGGTAGTTGGGATGTACCGAAGACAAAAAAAGAAGAAAAAAATGCGATTTTTTTTTACTTTTTGGAGGGTACCCTCCTCCTATGGGGGAGCAGGGTTAAAATTATATATAAAACGAAGCACAATTCTATACTCTATATCATGTAAAAATAATCAATCAGTTATCTCTAACTTATATTTTTATATGATGTAATGAGTAGGGAAAGGTGGTCATTTCCTGGGACGGCCCCCTTAACCCATTCATAATGGGTACATTTTGTAGCCAAAATAAAAATGTTTTGGGCGGCTACAAAATCGGTGGCGGAGCTTCCCCGGAGTTTGTCCGCCCGCCGGCCGCGGCCCGCTGCTGCGTCGGAGCGCAGCCCCGATACAGTGTCACACTGGCATTGTTTATTTTTTCCGAGTGTCTTATATATGGGACACCCGTCGAGATTGGGTTAACAGATAATCAACCCTTTATACATTGCAAATCCTGATGTCCTCATGTTTCTTTTCTTTTCTTGGTTTCTTGCTTGCTACCACTCACACTCGTACACACCCTGAGTCATTTGTTGATATTAGATATTTTTAATTATTTTTTCTTTTCAGAACACCAAAATGACGCAATACCTTCCGCCAAACTTATTGGCACTTTTTGCACCAAGAGATCCAATTCCATATCTAGCACCTGTTGATAAGTTAACATGGGAAAAGAAAACAGATGGGTACTCTGGTGTGGCACAATTGATACAAAGATTTGAGGTATGGTTGCAAAGATTGTGTATCATAGTTTACATTTTCTTATGTCATGGGATTGTAATTTTATTGCAAGTTGATTATATAAATGGCAGGTCTGCTGATATATTTATGCTACTAAGACCCAAAATTTTAAAAAGAAATCTCTCTTTAGGATCCTAAGGATACTCCCCCTCCAACAAGGGTGGAAACTCGTGAGGAACGCTTGGAGCGGAAGCGGAGAGAGAAGGCCGAACAGATGCAATATAAGTTGGAACAAGAAATTGCCCTTTGGGATCCTCACAATAATGAAAATGCAACCAGTGACCCATACAAGTCACTATTTGTTTCACGGATCAATTACGACACATCAGAGTCCAAGCTACGCAGAGAATTTGAGATTTATGGTCCTATTAAAAAGGTAAGTTTAAGTAAGTTGTTAACTTGCTTATTTACTTTTGCTTGTGTACTAAAGTTTCAAACTTCCTGTAACTGGTTTTAAGTCTTGTCTTTTTTCCAGCCAGATACTGATAATGTCCTTAAGAATAATTTCATAAAATTTCCATTGCTGTTTGTGTGAAAGAAAGTTTTAAGTTTTGAGTTTTGAAAACTTGTATAAATCATACCTTATGATGATGATTATTATTATTATGTTTTTAAATGCTCTTGATGCACTTAAATAATTTCTCAATCCCTGTGCTATGACATGAATTTAAAAACCCATGATTTTTTTCTCCATCATGCTGATATTATGATATTCAGCATCAATGATAATTGCACTGCCTATCAGAGTGGAGCACCCTCTCTACACTTCTCCTCTAAGGATTACAGTAAAATAGTATTTCTTAAATCTAGGACAACCTTCTTCATATACTAAAGCTATATTCTCACCGACAGCAAGCTGTTAGCAAACTGTAGTGAGAATTTTGTAATATTGTAACCATTATACTTTTGGCCACAGGATCCACAAAGGAGCATAGGCTAAAGTGGAAAAAGTTGACACTTTACCTAATTGTGAAGGACTAAATTTTTGTTAAAAGTTAGGCAAGGATGGGTATTCATTAATGCACTTCATACCTGGGCAGTTGTGGTAGTGAGTGATGTCTCTTTCCACTGATGATGTGGTAAGACGTCATCCATCATCTTTGATTATTCACCGTGACCTAAGTCTCTATTACTCCAGTCAACAAGCTTATGAATATGGGGTTTCCAGGTGTGGGGGGAGGGGGAGCTGGTGAAATTGCTCTGATTCTGCAGAAATTTTATTTTCAAAGTTGCTACTATAACTTATACACACTTGTTCCAGACATTCTCAAAGTTTTCAGTCCATTGACTCTGTCATAAAGGTTCATATTCTTCATTGACCCCAGATATGAAATTTGAAATGAAACTTACAAGTTCATTTACAATATATTTTAGAGTATGGAACAGTTGGATTGGGTATGGACAGTTTCACCCTCTGTAAACAGGCTTTTTGAAAACACTAGAGACTCAAATATTCCTGAACAAGAAATTCTATAACAGTTACACATATAGATTAAGCCAAGTGCATATCTGGGAAATTATCAACGCAATATTTTAAGCATTGAAAAAGAGCACCAGCTATAGTTTTTATTAAAGACTATTTGACATAAATATATGATTTTCACAGAAGTAGCAATTCCAAATCTATCATGTATGCAGAATGGTACCACCTTTTTGTGAGGCAGGTGTACAAGATGGGTACAGAATTTTCTACATATTTTTCTACAAAGTTACATATACACAGCAAGTATAAGAAACCAGAACAAGTTCTATGAAATTAAGAAAGCCCTTTCAGATCATATTAAATGTGCTAAATAGAAATGTAGCTAGTAACAATATTTATTTTATAGTTTCACTCATATGTTCAAAGATGCATTATTACGCTCATACTTTAGATATTGTTTGTCTTCTGTTTTTCCAGATTTTTGAAAATTGTGAACATTAACTAAAGATTTGACACAAAATAGTAGTTTTAATGCCAAGTATATTATACTGATAGTGCTTTTTCTTTCAGATTGTGTTGATTCACAGTTTTAAGACGGGGAAGCCTCGAGGATACGCCTTTATTGAGTATGAACACGAGCGAGATATGCACTGTGAGTACCCAACAAACCACCCTGCACATGAAACAACACATTATACATATGCAAACATGTTTCTCACTTTTATTTTTATTATTTTTGATTCATTTTTAATTACTCAATAACTTTTTGAGTAGGATCTTAATAATTCAGCCAAAAACAAAATAGAATAAGCACCCATTGGCCTCAGTTCAGAATTTATATTTTAAATTTTGTGTATGTTAAATATATTTTGATTTATATACTCTTTAACCCCCTTTTTGCCCTGACTACATGTCCTGGAAGTAAAAAGGACAAAAGATTAAAAACTTTGGAATTATATCTTCATTTAGGTATTAGCTAGTTTTTTGTTTGATAGCTGTTTTATATGGAAAATTAACTATTTCATAGTTTCTAATGTTGAGTTATTTTTAGTATTTATGAAACTGAAGAGGGCTTCAGGAAATTACATTGTCAGATTCAAGAAATGTTATATATCATTTAGTTTTGCCATTTGTGGCATTTATGACGATTGAATTATAGCGGTTCCTCATCTGCACTTCATGAAGTTCACTATGATTTTATTTATTGTTGTTCTCATCATCTCTGTTATAAATAGATGATTTCAGTAATTGGAAGTATTGTTTTTAATAGTAGGAATAGGTCCTTTTGGTAGTCTACTAATGTTGGGTGTATGGAATGTGTATCTGTTTACTGATGTCCTTTTTATAATTATTCTTAACAATGAACAAGATTTTTAAAAAGGAAATTATTTAGGTAGAAGTATTAAGAAAATTCAGTATGAGCACTTTATCTGAGAAGAGTGTAAGATGTTCAGGGAATGATGAATTTTGTGTGACAAAATTTGCAAATGTTGGTGAAGGAGTTTGCTTGACTAAGGGAAGAAGGAAGAAAGCATTTGGAATGCTGCTTGATTCTGACTGGAGAAGTGGAATGGATTTCTTGGTGCATCCTCTTTTGGGGTGATATGGGTCATGAATGGGAATGTATGTTATATATATTTAGGATGATGCCATGGTATTTGTGTTGCTGTTTCAGCCATTTCTCTATTCTTATGTTCTTGTTTATTCTTGTTCATTGTTAATTGCTTATGTAAGTTACCAGTTGCCTTCACTGTAGAATTTTTGCAGTTGGAAACTTGTCAGTTCAACATGTTGGAGACAAATTTTTATACAGTTGCATAGTCATGGTGGTGACACTTACATGATCCTTAGATTGTGATCAAAGGTGTTCTTGCTTCTTGGGTTATGGTGAATACTTCATTAGTACAAATTCTAGAACTGAGATGTTACACATTTTAATTCTAGTCTTTTCTTGTTGGGAAGGGCAATATTCTTGCCTCATCAATTTACTATGTCCTATTAATATGTTTTTACTTGTATTTTTAATAGTAATCATTAAAAGACTGAAGGTTATTGCTGAGGGTGGTTTCTTTTATGTAGATGTATCTCTGGTGTGTCTGTTAGTAGATTGTATGTCATGAACTGATGCACTTCAGAGTTGAAGGCCTACCTCAGCAACTAACCCTCGAGTCAAATATCTTCATGATGAGAGAGAAGACAGTTGTAGTTCTGTTGATATTGCATCAACTGATTTCAACTCTACAATTGTGTTCTTTCATAATGTTATGTTGTCTTTACTGTTTTAAGGTCCCACACTAATGCATTTTGTTTCGTTCACCCTGTACAGCCGATCTTCCGTGCTGGCTTGTATGCTCACGCGACCTATGAGCGCTCACGGCTCTAGGTTTGTATGTGTGGTAAGCCCAACACAGGAGCAGGCAGATTGTCCCATATTGTTTCCAAGGCTTTAACCTGCCTTGATGAAAGGCTACTTTCTAAATCAGTACTGAGTGGCTTTTTAGGGCTCGTGGCATATTCATTCACCCTTACTGACTTGCACATCATTTTCCAGTCACTCATAGAGGGGAGAAGTGAAAGTGACTGACTCTAATAGAACTTGTAAAACCATTATACATCAGCTGATGCTGGAGAAAATTCTAATTGTCATTAATGAAAGCCAATCAAGGAGTGCAAATTATCAAAGTTACGCCCACATTTTTTTTTGTCACTTCAAGTTAGGATATTAAGACTAAAATTCAAAAGCTATTGATACTGATGAAAGCTCTTAATTTCTTGGAATTTGCTATGAGAGCTTAAGGAAATTTGAAGAAAAGCCTGATTATATAGTATGGTGCTCCTGGGTTTGTAGAGAAGGAACTGGTTATGGTGGGTGGGGAGGATGCAGTGTTATTTATGGTAAAGAGAGCTGTAATGAAGACACTGAGGAAATCTATACTCGTGTTTTAGACTTTTCCACTTAAGTTCCCTGGTAGGTTGTTGTTTAGTAGGTTTTTTTAATAGAAGTTTGTTATCCGATGTTTCGTTCTTGTGATTTATTAAGTAAAGATTCCATGGGCATCTCTCTATATACTGATATTTAAGTTATATTTTGATGTTAGTAATGCACACAAGTCATAAATTTTCTCTTGATAATTTTGATAATGTAGTGTAGTTAATGAAAGGGTCGCATACTATGTTCAGTGTCAGTCTAGAGGGTTTGAGGGAAGGGTATCCATACCCTGGGTAAGTTGGTAAGTTGTTTGAGAGACACTTCATTGAGAAGTGGTTAATGATGCCCTTCAGTACTAAATTATGAGTTAAACATTCAGTTGTTCAGGTTGTGTGGCAACTTCTGTCATAATATCTAAAGCATGAAGGTACTGGTAAGATAGTTCTCATTATTCCACATATCCTTTATGGGTGGGTAAATTGAATTAAAAACTATACTTAGTTTGTTAGGAGAATCTGTGCTTGCTCCTTTAAGGATAAGGAGGTAAAACCTTCAATTCTCTCATTTACAATTTTCTGTCTACGGTTCTCTGTATCTGCTGTATCTCAATACAGTCTCTTTTCTTTCCTCTCATCATCAACCATTTTTTGTTATTCTCTGTTGCTCTTGTTTCTCATTTGCTTGTTTCTGCATTTTCCTTCTCTTTGCTGTATTTTCTGTCTTATTTCCTGTTTTCTGCATTTCCTGTCACTTTTTACTGTTTTCTGTATTTCTTGTCACTTATTTACTCCTTTCTGTATATCTTGTCACTTATTTGCTCTTTGGCATTTTCTGTTACTTATTTGTACTTTACCTTAATTTCTGTCACTTATTTCTCTCTCTCTCTCTCTCTCTCTCTCTCTCTCTCTCTCTCTTCTCTCTCTCTCTCTCTCTCTCATCTCTCTCTCTCTCTCGTCTCTCTCTCTCTCTCTTCTCTCTTTCTCTCTCTCTTCTCTCTCTCTCTCTGTCTCTCTCCCTCTCCCTCTCTGTCTCTCTCCCTCTCCCTCTCCCTCTCTGTCTCTCTCCCTCTCCCTCCCTCTCTCCCTCTCTGTCTCTCTCTCTCTCTCTCCCTCTCTGTCTCTCTCTCCTCTCCTCTCTGTCTCTGTCTCTCTCCCTCTCCTCTCTGTCTCTCTCCCTCTCCTCTCCTCTCTGTCTCTCTCCCTCTCCCTCTCTGTCTCTCTCCCTCTCTGTCCCTCTCCCTCTCTGTCCCTCTCCCTCTCTCTCTCTCCCTCTCCCTCTCTCTCCC